AAATACTAATAAAATATACTTGTAAAATAATATTCAGGATCTAGAAATTTTAGGAATTTTAAATGTTTAAAATTAGGAATTTTAAACACTTTAAAAATTCACCTGAATCGACAAAACAATTATCCAAAAGTCTAATACACTTATTCCTCAAAACGAAACATTTCATATAATATTCTCTGGAACAGGTGCGATTCGTCGAGATCGAGGAAAGCGAAATCACGAAATACGAAGGTAAGAGAGTCGCACGACGGAGAGAGGGCGATGTTCGCGTAAAATCTTATTTGCAAACGAGATTCCAAATGTCCCACGGGAGGAATAGAGGGGGAGGAAAAACGAACAATGGAAACCGCTCTCGGACCGGGAAGAAAGACCGGGCAAACCGATTTCCCGCATGAGCTCTCCTGTTTGCTCTACGGATCACCGCCACCTATAATTTCACCCTCCCGCCGTACTTCGTCTTCGATTTGATCCTGTTACGTGAATACCGCCGACCAGGAATCCATTCGAGCCACTAATCTACCTATTGTCGCGTCTCCTCGGTCAGAAGACGGTCCTCGATCGATCGATAGATCCCGTACTCTTGGATTCTCTGCGCCGCGCCGCTAAACTAACCAATCGCGTTTCGATGTTTCAATTGCTGTCGGATATGATGTCGATTCGATACGTTTATGCATCGTATAGTTGATCCGTCAACGAGTGGCGCGCAATGGGAAATTTTTTTCAATTTGACATTAACAGCATTAAGGAGGATGTGACGCGTTTCTTTCGAAGGACAAAAATTTATGAGAATAGAAGATTAGAGTTGTCGGGACATTTCATGGAAGGAGAATCAAATTATTCGTATATATTAATTGAGATTTTTAAAATGTCTAATTTCACTTGTGCCTTGACTAAAATTATTCAATCATTCATTTAAATTTAAATAAATTTATATGAGTTACTATTGTCTATTATTTTTTCATTCTCGTGGTTGGTGTAACGAAACTGCAAACAGTTGAATTTGAATGAGAAATATTATGTTAGACCCAAGAACCAAAAATGAAGAACAAAAATAAACATTATAATAATTAACAATTAATTAATAAATATTATCTATAAATAAATATTGTAATTAAATAAATATTATCTATAATATATATAATATATATTATAATTAAATAAATATTATCTATAATACACATAATATATATTATCTATAAATAAATATTATCTATAATATATAATATATATTATAATTAAATAAATATTATCTATAATATATAATATATATTATAATTAAATGAATATTATCTATAATACATATAATATATATTATCTATAAATAAATATTATCTATAATACCTATAATATATATTATAATTAAATAAATATTATCTATAATACATATAATATATATTATAATTGAATAAATATTATCTATAATACATACAATATATATTATAATTAAATAAATATTATCTATAATACATACAATATACATTATAATTAAATAAATATTATCTATAATACATACAATATACATTATAATTAAATAAATATTATCTATAAATCAATACTTAATTAATAAACATTATCTATAAATAATTTTATCCCTATTAATTATATAAATAATAATTAATAAGGATGAAAGACGAAGAATATTTCACAAAGCGAAAGAAAGATACGATACACTACTGCTTTTCGTTCTCCAGCGTATAAAGTCTTCAACGAACTCCAAAGAGAGAAAAAAAAAAAAAAAAAAAAGGAAAAAGAAGAAAAAATGTAAACGCAGGTGTTATCTACGTTCCACCCTCTAGTCATCCTCCCATAAAGCCACAACGTAAATTATCCTCAAGACCGACATTCCGACGAATGTTTGCCATGATCCACCTACCATCGACGCCCTCGTATTCCTCCTCCAAGGAACACACGAGCCACTCGAACGACCACTTTCTCCTGCTCGCGAAATCGGGAACGATCCTCTCTCTCTCTCTCTCTCTCTCGTTCCTCTCGTTTTCCACGCTCCGTATCCGCGAGCACAAATTCATTAACGATCGAAGGATCCCCCGGCGGGAGCGAACAATGCGTCGCCTAATAGAAATCAAATCGCCTTGCCATTTATAACGACCCGCCTCCCCCTTTGTTCCCTTCCTCCCCCCCTTCCCGCGTTTCTTTTCTTTTCGTCTGTGGACCTCCTTCGCGCCGCTCTTTTTCGCCCATCACGGAATAATCGAACAAGATTGATGAGGACCGCGTGACTGGCGCTTAGACAGAAGAGAAACACGAGAGTCGTTGCGTTTCTCTCCCTCCTTTCGATCGAGTTCGTTCCCTTTCGTCGAGTACGATCGGGACTTGTTTCTCTATTGGTGTCACTCTCAGGTACTTTGACTTACATGGTACAGGGACAGTCTGACATTTTAAAAAAAAAAAAATCGATTTCCTTTGTTTTGTTTTGAATGGTAGTTTTGAAGTCTCAGAAACGAGATACGAAAGGTAGCTTTTAAAACGACTTATTTTCGGAGTTTCGACTATGTTATTGTAATATATTTTATTATTAATAATAAATCCGCGGATGCAGGATAATTGAATTTGTATCACTGTTATGTTATAAAATCGTGCGATTCAAAATGTCACTTTTGGTGAGTCCGAGTATCAGGATTCGACTTGGATTCCATTTCGTTGTGAATTTGTAGTAAGAACTGCGAGCCGCGATATATAGTAGTAAAAAGAAGTAAGCAAAGGATACATACGATATGAAAAATGACGTTCTGAAACTTCTGAACGCGTTTTTCTCGAAACTTAGGTTCTTAGAAACGGTGTGGCAAGATATATCTAACCAACCGATTACTGTGAAACTACGTATCTTTGGTATAACATTTACTAGGGATTGACGATCGAATGTTTTTTAATTTTTAACAGTTTCGAAAAATACAAACAGAAAGCGTAGAAATTTTTGATATAAATTCAAAACAAATAGCTGCTGTTTTCATAATTTTCACAAAAATGAAAATGTCGTCAATGCCTAGAGAACATTGTTACCTTTTGTTGCAGCTAATCCTGTTTGGCTGGAATCATGCACACCGACAGGCAATATAAAAAAAAAACGTTATGTGAAAGGATTCTTTTTCTTTTTTAAGGTTGCTTTTTATAGTTCATAATGTGTTAAAACGAACCACAAAAGCTCATGTCAATCAAATATTTTTTTTTACTAGCCCGTCAAAGATCCATTCACGTCACAGAGAAATGAGTCTTAAAGTAAAGTAAAATACCTAGAGTGACACCAAGAAGAAACATGGTTATTTCTAATCACTCGTTGGTATCCGGAAACTGTGCTTGCCGATTTTTTTCGATCACGATCCTAGGGAGATCCTTTCTGAGATCGACGAATGAGGATTTCAAAGTGGGAGCAACTATTATCGCGGCAAGTGTTGCAAAGAGTTCGAGAAAAATTACGGAAAGGAAACAACAGTCGACGTTGGTCAGACAGGAAGATGACTCGTGACTCGAGATAGTGGAACTTGAATGGGAGATCACGTCTCATCCATCATATTCTTGTTTCTGTGGCTGGATATCCACACGAGGTACAAGCTGCTCGATAACGAAACTCGATCTCGAAGAAGAAGCGGTGGAACGAAAGATATTTACGAAAATATCGGCATTTACCAGTCGTTACAAAATAAAAAATGGTTATAAAATACGAAGAAGTAATATATAAAGTAAAAGTCATAAAGTACGAAGGTGTTTTGGTAAATAAATTCATTTTGCATCTCCTTGTGTTCTACGACTGGTCGAAAATTGCTCCTTTTTAATACGATTCCCTTTCGTCTCAATTTCGAACGCTCGATTTCTCTCGTCACAAACACGATCAATATTCGTTACCATCAAAATTACACGTACCAGCGAACGAAGCAAGGATAAAACACTATCGATGCGTGGCTCGTTCCGCCAGGCTCGTCGGTAGTTATAAATGGACCTTTAACCGTGACATCACGCCGCTTTTATACAGACACCATGCTCCTGACAGTCTGGAACATTTGGGTTTCATGGTCGGGATTTTTTTCTCTATTGTGTGCAGGGATCGTGTTTAGAAAGTGCGTGTTTCACGCGTCGAATATATACATTGATAAATTCTAAACAGTGGGATTAAATTGAAAAAAATTCCTAAAAATTTCGTTATTAAACTGTGATATTTAAAATTTGGTAAGAAAAATCGACAAGTTCCAAGACTCTTGAACAAAGTCGTCGGAATCTTCAAAATCATGATCATGAAAACATTTTTTTTTTCATCGTTTCTACAATTTTTCTTGAATTTTTACAATTTTTCTAATATACAAGTTTTCTAAATAACTTTGTTTTTTAAGTATAATAATTCAAATTGTCGATCATCTTCCATCATCGTTATTGGTTTAATTATGCTCTTCACTGCGTACGGAGTCTATCCAAATTACAGGCAAAGAAAATTTGCACGTGCAAATGTAATTGTATACAGGTTGAGTCTTCACACATTTAAATTAGATCAACTGGACATTTTGTAAAATTATCCGTGCTTTTATGTACTACTTTTATATACTACTTTTAGTACTACTTTTAGTACGTTTTGTAAAAATAAGAATAAAGAGCCAAGATAATGGTCGAAAAATTGGAAATAGGACAAAAGCATGCTTTACCACAAGGATTCAAGATGATCGAAGGATGATGATCTACAATTTCACAAAAACGTCGCTCGTTTCAACTCGATATCTACTAGTTTCGTTATCTAGAAACTTTCGAGTCGTGGCGGTTGATAGGGAGAGCCGAGGTGAAAACGTAATTAAGAACGCAGCCGATTAAAGCGCGTTGCGCGCCGCGGGACGGTGAAGTAAAAGGCGAAATAACCGAGCAGGGGCTCCATGTGTGGCACGGTTAGCAGCCCATCCATTTTTCTGACTGCTTGTTGTTTCGCGCCGGGGGTCCCACGAGAAGAGAGCCGCTTCGATCTCTCCCTGGACCATTCTCCATCCGGCTGGTCCGAGGCGAGCCGTTCTCTCTTGAAAAAAATCATCGTCCACAAGTAGCTTCAAAACTTCGAACGTTTCTCTGAAATCAAATCAAATTTCCTGGGTCATTTACTGGAATCGAGATTCCCATATACATCGCCCTCATGCTTGTTTCAAAAGTGGAAAAAGAAAAAAAAAAATTAAACGACGTGCATAAAGAATAAAGAATGTTATTAAACATTAATACATAGTGAAAATGGAAACATTTACATTTGCTGTAACTTCGTGAGAGAAAAAAATCGAGCATCGTAAATTTTGAGAGGTCTTTGTAAAGTCGAAGCTTTCGTTTTCAAGACCGTCGTGGATTCAGTAATGAAAAGGATTCTTTAGTGTGTAGAATTTTCGAAAGAAAAGGTATCATCTTTGGAAAGAGAGAGAGAGAAATTATAAATATTAAATTACGAATAAAACGTTTGTCTAATCTTATATTTCTTGTTATTCTTTGTGATAGCGAGTCACGTTTATGTGGTACAAATTGAAAAAGAAAGAAATTATAGTGGCGCGCGATTTGGGTTAGAATTTTAAATTTAAATTTAAATATTAACTTTAATATTTAATTTAATTTATAATTTAATTTAATATTTAAATTCAAAATTTAAATTCCATAACTCGAATGTTAGAAAGTACAAATTGCAATAGAAGATTTCAATACTTTACATCCAACATAACGTCACAATCACAATAATTAATCCCTCTTGAGATCCTCACGATGCAATATTCTTGCAGAAAATAAAAATTCCTTTAAACAGTATTAATATACATATTAATATTACAAATTTCTAAACGTTTCCAGAGAACCACAAAATAAAAAGATCTATACTAGCAATAAGAAAGTAGAACAATAAATCAAAAAAAGCGGTTTCACCTTTTTTTAAATTCAATTTTCAAACCCTCAAGGAGTTAGAGAATCTAACTAACTACGCAACTGACTGCGGACCATAACGAGTGACCGAACCGTATACAATAATTCGCCTTCTTTCTTGAATTCATCGCTATACCACCGGATAGAAATTAGTAAAAAGTAACTAAAAGTAATAAATTTATTATTTATTTTGCCTTAGTTGTATTTAAATATCTTTGGAATTGAGAAAATATTGCAATTTTGGGACAAAAAGAATTCTCGACGTGCGCGACACGTCATTCCAGCGCAAGAGGTTAACGACAACTGATTGCGGACCATAACGAGTGACCGAACCGTATACAATAATTCGTCGCTTTCTTTTTGAACTCGTCGGCACGATATCACTGGATAGAAATTATTGACAAGTAATGAATTTACTATCTGTTTTGCCTTAAATATACTTAAAACTAAGGAAATACTACAATATTTTGGGACAAAAAATTCTTCGTGGCACGTCATTTCAACGCAGGAAGTTTCACTTTGATGAATATTGTAGAGGCGAATACTTCTTGTTCTACTGCTCCACAGGACACAGTCCAATGCCAATTCTAATATTCTACGAATCTGAACGAAATTCCAGAGTGAGAAAAAGAAGCGAGTTTACTCACTCGAGGTAGGGAAGTCGGATCGATAGCCCTGTTTTCCCCGGTATCTGCAAGAAACGTGGTCCTTTCGGGACGTTCGTGCCGAAGGCGTGAAATGGCCCGGGACAGGAACTGCACGGAGAGAACGAGGCGCGGTGGTGACGCCTCGCAGAGTGGTGTCGCGTCGCGTCGCGTCGTTAAGACGCATTGCTTCCACCGTTGGTATCCGGGCATTTGTCCAGGACGACGCGTCCAGGAACTGGACTGCCGGCTGGTATGCTGGTATGGGGTAGGATTTAGTGGCTGGCTGCCGTGCGTCTCCGGAATCGTGTTAGGATTTTCCCGGAATCGGAGCGTGCGCCTCCTTCTTTTCTGTTTCTCGTGCCTTGGACGTCGTTGCTTTTGCTGCTGGAATTAAAATGAAATTCAAGTTACTAGTGAATGCACGATCATGGTAAATTTGGTGAATACAGGATTACACACTTGAGTGTATTATACACTATAATGGTATATTATTACATGTAACAGTAATGTAATACATAGTATACTTTTGTGCTGTGTATTATATGTGCATGTATATGTAATAGAAATGTTTGAATGTAAGTATGTATGAACTATATACATTTCCGTTATAATAATGTTTCTGCTATAATACATAGTATATTATATTAGTACATTATACTATAGTACACTAGACTAGATAGTATATTAGTACACTAATTATATTATGTTAGTTATATTATAATACTACAGTACATTATACTATTAGTACACTATACAAGGTAGTCTAATATATTTATATATAATATAATATGTAGTAGATGGCACATACAGTACCCAGATGTAGTTTATAGCATATAATATACAGTAATGTGTACAATAATTATTTTTAATTGTAATAATTATGGTAGTAGATATTAATTAGATACAAAGATACTATATAGTATTACTGTACTATATTATGATATAAAGTAATATTATACTATCTATACTATATTATACTATATTATACTATAAAGTAATACTATACTATACTATAGTATATTATACTATATTATACTATACTATACTATTATATTATACTATAAAGTAATACTATACTATATTATAGTATACTATATTATACTATACTATACTATTGTATTATACTATAAAGTATAATACCTATAATACTATAATAGTATAATATCTATAATATTAATATTAATGGTATATCTATAATATTGTAATACACCATCGCTTTATATTTTAATTTTCATTATCTACTTTTCATTATTGTTAATAATTGTAATACACTGTAATATTTCTTTTAAATTTTATTATCATATATTATGACATGCATATATTTTATTATTGGAATATTATTATTATACATTATATCGTATGTTACATCACAGGAACATTATTATAATACATTGCAATATTAACTACAATAAAGAACGCCGAAAGAGGCAAAAGAAGTCGTAATTCAATAGTATAATATCTATAATACAACTATAATATAGTATATTTACTTTGTAGTTAACTTTATACCTACTTTTCGTTATTCATAATTGTTGTAATATACTGCAATATTTAATTTAAATTTTATTATTGTATATTACAATATACAATATCATTATTATACATCACAGTGTATATTATATTATAACAATGTTACAGTATTAATTGCAATCAAAAGAAACTGCGAAAAAAGCAAAAGAAGTCGTAACTCAAGGGGTTAAATGGTACCATAGTTCCTTGTTTTCCGTGAAACCGAACGAACAAGCATCCCAATTATCATCGTTCGCGTAATTGCTAAATAATAATACAAAAGGCCGAAAGATAACGATCGGTAGTCGAGAGTGGAACAATGAGGGAATACGGTTCTTTTTTTCCCTGGCGAGGTTTAATTAATCGGAAAAAGTAGGCGCGATAATTTCATGGTAACGTCGTACTCGAACGCGCGATTGCGTAAGAGATTGATCGTAAATCGCTGGATCGGCCGCCATTTTGCCGAGTGCCGCGGTGGCGCCTCGGTTTCCGCGACGCGACATGGATCGTAAATCGCGAATCGAGTAAATTTATTCTTGCAGATAATTTTCCTGGACGTGTGACGATTTATCCTCCGCAGCATACTTCGTTAATTCTGTGTTTGCTTGCGAGAGAAATAGACTTGAATTGAGAAATTACGACTATTTATACACCAGTTTGAAATTTGATAACTAATATAATTGTTTAAAAGATTTTATACAAATTTTGCTTTTGATATACTACGTTAACACTACCAACGTGATCAGAGTGATCGATTCACAAATTCTCGGATGAATTTGACAAATTTTACAGACACGTATATTTTTAGAAGACACGTAAACACAAGTGTCCTCTATTACTTGTCACAAACATTTTCCTGTTCCTTGTCCACTTTAATTTCTCCGATATAAGTTTTCAATGTAGTTTAGTCGTTGAGTATCAAAGATTCATTGTGATTATCATTAATAAGAATAACATCGAGATAAAACTATTAAGTGAATATTGAAAATAATTGCAACCATTTAGCCCGATGAAAAATTTGGGAACTAGTAATTGTTAGTTACAATTAATTCGTTCTGAATATCAAATAAGAATAATAATAATATTATAATAATACTAGTAAGAATAATACAGAATAATGAATGTTAAGAGAATAATGATTTAAAAGTAATTATTCCAATAATAATAATATTATGATAATACTAATAATACAGAATAATAATAATATTATAATAATACTAATATAAGAATAATAATAATATTATAATAATACTAATATAAGAATAATAATAATATTATTATTAATATTAATATAAGAATAATAATAATATTATAATAATACTAATAAGAATAATACAGAATAATGAATGTTAAGAGAATAATGATTTAAAAGTAATTATTCCAATAATAATAATATTATAATAATACTAATATAAGAATAATAATAATATTATTATTAATATTAATATAAGAATAATAATAATATTATAATAATACTAATAAGAATAATACAGAATAATGAATGTTAAGAGAAAAATGATTTACAAGTAATTATTCCAATTATTCTAAAATTCGGGAGCTAATAATTGTTATAGATAACTAATTAGAGATTATGTACAAACTCATTGTTATTAAAATATACAGTGAATGAACATTCGTAATACTAAAGAACTATTTGTATTAATTATTTTCAATTATAATTAAAATGTTTTTGTTAATTGAAATTAATGTAATGTAATTCATTAAGTATTTTTGTAACGATATAATAATACAAATAAGACAATAGGGCAGTAATTACGTAAAAAAAAAAAATTCCAATATAAAATATATATCTTAATATCTAATGTATACTTAATCTAATATGTATATTATATATTGTATATGTCTAATTACTGTACATATAAGATGTATATTATCGTGTCATTATTTTATTTTCATTACAACATACTTCATTTCATATTTATTCTAAAATACGATACTGGAATGACAACCATACAAAATGTATACTCCAATGTTAACTTGTTCAGGATTTCTTCTCTACCGATGTATTAACAAAAAATAAAACAATGGAACAATAACCATACAAAATGTACACCTCGCGCTCTCCATCTCTTCGTAGTTCACGTGTGCAATTAAAAATATATATACAACGGCGGAGCAATAATTACACGAAACGTGTGTACATGTAACATTTCAAGTTACACGATGTTGCACAGACAATTAACGCAACAGCGGCGAGAGACCGATTGGAACTCGAACTCGAAAAATTTCCAAGGGATAAATATAATACCGACGTGTGCGCGTTATTCCACACACGTAAGCCCACTCGTTGAAACGTATCCGCGCGAAACTGCTTCACCTGGACTTTTCGCAGAAACTGGAGGCGGCGTTAATTACGAGGATCCACGAAGGAGATAACGCGATTCCGAGACGATGGTAATCGCGAGGTGGGAGGAGGGGGAGGAGGGGGAGGAGGGTGGGGGGGCGCCTCATTGTTCGCTCCGCGGCCTTACATAAATGCGCATACAGACGCGGCAATTACTTAGCGTAATATATATAAAGTATCGTGCAATTACTCCGGCAACGGCGCTCGGCTCGATCTTATCGCGCGGAAAATCTGATCGGACTGTTTAACCGGGTATCGTTCTTCGTTTTATCCGAAAACAAACATCGTACAGCTCGCGACGCGCGTGGAACCTGTTGGCTGTCGAATTTTGCCACTCCCCTTTCCCGACAGTGAACTGCACTTCAGGCCTGCTCGAATGGAATTCGAAAACGCAATCATTCGAACAGAAACAGACTAGAGAGCGAGACCGTTAAAACTTTTCGTTACTGTCTCAATGACAGATAATAATTTAGCGACGAGTCTGTAAAGAGAGGGAGAAATTGCTTGAATGATGCATCGTCTTGTTCATCATCGATGTTATCGGATAATCGGATGCTTGCCCTTCTTTCAAGCACGCGAAGTGTTTCTTTCTTCTTTTTTTTTTTTTCTCATATTGCATATTTGCAACTTGTGTGCACTAAAACAGAGATTTATATTATATTGTTGAGTCAATTTTATTTTCATTAATTAAATAATTGTAATTGTTTATAATATTATGACAATACAACAATATAAAAATTACTTTAATTTTCTGTATATGTGTTTTTATATTTACTATGTACTTTTCAGTTATATAAGTATATACAATACGCATATATAATTGATATTATATATTAATAATAGTAATTATTATCATTTGATAATGATTCATTTACAAAGTTACAGCTCTAAACAGTTCGTTACTTCAGATTCAAGTTAATTCTTATCTTTATCCCAGGCAAAATGTATCCGAGCCTCGGTAAGAGTGTAGAGAGCCCGTCTCCTCTCTCAGCGTACTTGACCCGTTGGCTATTAATCTCCGTGTGCCATCAACCCCTCTCGATCCCACAGGAGGCGTTTCCCAACTAATATACGACGACACGACCCACGCCTCTATCGGCCACGGCCTAACGAGGACTGACTTTAACGGTTAAATAATATTGCTTTGAGCTCTTTCTCCACGAGTGCCACGGAAACATCTATCGCGGAACAACATCGTAGGCAATTCACTTGCGAATCGACGAGCAGGCGAATAATAAAGGGCAGCAAGGATTTTCACAAAATCGTGATGGAAAACTGTTTCATACATATCATATAAAAAAATATAAATAATATATATATATATATATATATATATATATATATATATATATATATATTAATAAGATATTTTAGAAACAAATTTATTTTTTATATTACGTACGTACACACATGCTATAGTGTAAGCTAAAGCGACTGTGTTCTTTTTTTTTTTAATATATATGTTGTATCTAAAACGTGTAAGATTGTTTCATTAAACTATCGCTCTTTATACAAAAATTTGTATAGAAAAACGAAATCTTTCAAGTTTCTGACAGCGTTCTCCTGATCTCGTTTCTTCTTCATTCGTTGAACAAAATTTATAACCATCAGAATTGGTATCGCGCGGCAGCAGACAGAAATTCGCAGCCTCGTTATGCTTTACGATCGTCCATGTAAAACAATGGAGCGGCTCTGTCGGTTTTACAAGCCACGGCCGAGCACACACAGGTGGATCGTGGTTATTTACCGCGCAATAATCGTTAACCTCGGCTCGCCCGTGTTGCGCGTATTTCTTCCAGCAGCTTCTTGCCGTGCCAAAAAAACTCTCTAGCCTAACTGTGCAACGACCTTTCTGTTCCTCGTTCGCGGGAACGTTTCGTACGAAACTGCGGTGACGATCGTTCGTGTCCTCGTGTTGGGTCGAAATTTCTTATGAATATCAGCACGACAGACGTCGTATATTTATATTTCATTGTGTGTCTGTTGAATTGTTGAACGTTCGTTCGTCCAATATTTCGACAAAATTCGTGCTTGTTTGTTGTAAACGATAGTCGGCTCTCGTTGTAAATGCGAGCGAATATTCATGTAGTTTGAAAACCGAACATGGACGTAATGATCATTTAGTAATTACTAAATCGCGAGTTTTTATATTATTTATAATTCGAAGGGACAAAAATTTATAGAATGTACTTAGTATATCAAAATATCTAGATTTAAATCTTCTTTTAAGAGACTTTTAAGAGTTTACAACTTGGTGTCGCATTCGAAGTGATTCGAATTTTCCGCCATATCGATTCGAGGAACTCGTCACTGCGCATGCGTCTGAACGGAGGCGTCTACATTTATAAATAGAGTGTGGACTTTTATATATTTAAATTTTATATATTTAAATAATATATATAATATAAATAATAAATATTGACAAATGAAGACATAGTTTTTCAAAGGAATAAAAATTACATAACCTCTTTGACCAAAGTTTGACTCGAGGCGACTCGAACTTCGAATTTCGAAGTGATTTAGATTCCATTACGACGCACTGCGCATGCGCCCCGATGTAAATACCTAACCTTTATAGCGTGCACTTTTATAGTTATAAATTACGTTGAAGAAATATGAAATTTGCTTTATCTGCTGAATATTATAATTAACACTACTCTGAATGCTTTATATCCATAGTTTTACATATTTTATACATTATATGCATTCACGTACCTGCAAATTTCTCATGGATGCATGAAGAATTGCAGCTCACTTGCAAGAAATTTCTTCTTTACTTTGTTCCTCGTTATTAACTAAGCTCTGATTAAACAAACACGTTAATTATATTCATAGAAATATACATATAAATGCATGAAAACTCGTAGATTCCTTGTAAGGATTAGACGCGAAGACGCATACGTCGAGACGCATGCGCAATGCGCAGTGTTCAAATTGTGTACTCTGAATCTGTACACATGTATGGCGAACGATTCGAATCGTTTTGAACATGATACGAAGTTTAAAACATTTCTATTATCTACTAAATATATATATTGTAATTAAAACTTGCAATAAATATTACAATAAATTCATATTCCATTCTAAATGCTTTGCATATTTTATGTTTTGTACCTATATTGTGTATACTCGTGTACTTTTAAATGTCTCACATATGCATAAAAATCTTCAGTCATCAAATTATTAGAAATTTCCTTTCTGTTTTATTCCTCGTTGAAAACTCCGATTAAACGATTTCATTAATTATATTTATAGAAATATACAAATACACGAAAATTCGTGATCTACTTATAGGGGGAGACGCATGCGCAGTGACTTCGAGGGTTACATATGGGCGGAAAATTCAAATCACTTCGAACACGATATCAAGTGATTTAATAAGAGCTGAGGCTTTAACACTAGATAACTAAGTTATCTGCGATTAAATAAGTATTACTAAGCATTCACGAAAATGATAAACGTTCATCTTATCTACTAAATATAATGATTAATACTTAATAAATATTAGAATTGAATCGCTCTTTATACAAAAAGCTGCCAATCATCCTCGATGATTTAAAATTAAGTAGATCTAGACTTGAAGATTCTAAGGGAAGTTGAAGGAGACTTCAAGATTCTAAAGGAGTTCCATTTCTTGTTTCTGTTTCATAATAGTAATTAATAATAAATAGGCAAGTCTAGAATGGAACTGTAACTTGGTTAGTTAGTTGGTACAATTTTTACAAACGCATAATATAAAATTTTCCAAAATAAAAATCCGTACCGTGTTTAATCAATTCTTTATCGTTCCGAGGGTTAATAAATTTCTGCACAACTTAGTCCGATTAACGCTTCATTTTAAATACTTCGCAACTCTTTCCACGAGTTTGCGTACCTTCGAATTTCTCGCGAATGCATGTGAATAATCGCCAAGCCAACCACAGGCAAACCCTTCTTTACCTCGTTCCTTGTTGCAAACTCGTTAACCAAGCACCGATTAACCGAAAGGAGAGAACACGGAATGGAAGAAAGGTGCGGTGGGCGAGCGAGGCGAGAAGGGCCCCGATATCGACTCTCAATTTAGAACAGTTCGAACAAATGACCATGATTACCGAGCGTAATGATAGCTTGGTCGCGTTCCGCGTGATTCATGCGAGCGCGCCTCGATCCGGGAGGCTGCAGCTTGCACTTCGGCCCGCTCGCAGCTTGTCGCGTGCCGGACGCGCGGACCTTAATTTCCGATCCTCCGCCACGTTTCGTGACTAAACCCTTAACCGTTTTACCTGTCGCGAGAGTCGTGAATCGACTCGAACGAAAGCTGAGGCCGAAGAAACGCGAAATCTCGACTAATTACAAAGTTTGGATCGAGACTTAATTTTAGATCTCCTGGGATTCTAGCGATTTGCAGAGTCTTCCCCCTTATCGTATTTCCTTTTTACGACTGAAAATTTCTAGAAACTTTACTTCATACTACTTGAAAGTTTCTTTCTTTCCGGGTGACGTGGTAAATGGTAAGTTTTCAAACGTCAAAAATTGGAGCCACTTTCGACTCTTTCACTTTATTCAATGGCTCCGCACCGTTGTCGAGAGAAACGCTGGTCGATAATACTTTTGTACACTTTGTATAATCAATTGAACGTCGTCCAACGTGGTCGATCCAATCGTTGATCCCAACAATCGCGGGTGGAACCGTGGCCTACCAATGGGGGAAATGGGCAAGTTTCGTTGGAAAAAGAGTCGACGAAACTCCGGGAGAAGGGCAGAGGAGGAAGAATGGCACGCGGAAGTGCAGAGTTAGCGAAAATTCCAGGAGTCCTGGACGATCGGTGGGGTTCGACGCTCCGCGACGACGAGGAAACCGTCTGGCTGGCTTGCATAGTCGCCGAGATAGGTATCGTGGCCGAGATTTATCGCGGTGCACCTAGTATGCGTCCCGACTATACCCGCGGATAGGTCTCCGCGTCTCGCCAATGCCCGGCGTGTTTCGCCATCAGCGGAACACCTGCGAATTCAAACCGAATGTCCGTGAGAACCTAAAAACGGGGAGCGAGTTTTTCGCGAGTCTGGAATCCTCGGTTACGAGGGATCGTTTTAAATGATCCAACGTGTATAATAATTGTAAAAATTTTATTTTCAAATTAACATAACAGGGTATCTAATTTTATATTATTAAAATTTATAGTATTACTATTTATTTGAATTTCGCCTAAAATTAATAAATTTAATATAACAATTATTTTTATTATAATAAATTATTGAGTTGTAATATAAGTTTGGACGGCTATTGCTGGCACTTTAATTTGTCATTATTAACTTTAATTCCCCTATTTAATTTTCATTAAATTATATAGAATTTTTTATTAATTTTATTATGTATATATATATATATATATTTATTTATTATAAATGAATTGTGGATTCATCTATGGATTGAAAAACTAAAAGAACATTGGACTTTATAGACACGTGTGTTACGTTCAATTTCTTAATATATATTAAGAATTTAACAACATTAAATGTTACATAAGAAAAAAAAAAGAGGAAACTTTTTCCCGAATTTATATTATTTATTTAACATTATAATATATTATATAATACTAATTTTAATTATATATACTTTCATATAATTATTGTGTATATAATTTATACAATTATTATAATTTTGTATTATTATTCATTGCCACAAATTTCGCTCATACATCACTCGTTTTAATTGAACTTCTCTGTCAAAAATATATTGTTATGTTTAATTTCTTAATGTACATTAAGAATTTAATAATATTGAATGTTATACAAGAAAAAAAAATGGAGGAACTTTTTCCCCAACCTATATTATTTATTTAATATTACAATATATTACATAATATTAATTTAAATTATATATAATTTCATACAATTATTGTGTAGAGAATTTATATAATTTAAAATAGTACAATATTACAATTTATATAATTTATATAATTGTTATAAATTTTTATTATTATTGTATTATTATTCATTGCCACAAATTTCGCTCGTACATCACTCGTTTTTGAACTTCTCTGTCAAAGATATAGACACGTCTGTTTTATTTAATTTCTTAATATATATAAGAATTCAATAATATTAAACGTTACGTAAGAAAAAAAAATTGAAGAAGTTTTTCCCCAATTTATTCAATATTTATTTAATATTATAACATATTACATAATATTAATTTAAATTATATATAATTTCATACAATTATTGCGTACATAATCGTACATAATATTACAATTTATATAATTATTATAATTCTGCATTATTATTATACAATTCATTGCCACTGCGTACAAATTTCGCTCATACACCTCGCAAAGACAAAGAAATTAAGAAAAGAAATTAGTTCAATATCTTTTCCTGCGCATACTTTTCATTTTCGTTCTCTTTACAGCAAAGAACTGTGGTCCTCTTATCCCACACTCGTCCCACACGCGATACGAAGGAGAAACGACCAAAAAAGAAAGAAAAATAAGAAGAAGAAGAAGACGAAGAAGAGAGAAACGATCGTGGCAGTCCTAAATCAAATTTAAAGTACAACGCGGCGTGTGTATGGTTACAGGCGGTCCGGGACGTCTGGCATCGAGCTTAATAGCGGCTTTTTTATCGGCGCTCTCTGTCGCCGATGGTGCGCGGCTTACGCGGTGGCTCGTATTTATGAAGGCGTGCGGATCCGGTCCCGGGCGACAGGTGCGCAGCTGCACCAGCGAGCACTGGGCACGCGTCTCCGCACGCTGCAGCTGAACTAATTACCGATGGTGGCCGAGCCAAGTAACAGGTACGGTTAATGCGACCGAGAGAGAGAGAGAGAGAGAGAGAGAGAGAGAGAGGATGCTTGGTCGTCGCCGACGACGATCGTCCAATACACACAGTACGTGAACTCGTCGACCAAACGACTGTTTGTTTGTCACCGATCGGGACTACATACCGTGTACATTTCGTCGCCGAAGGGAGCGTGATCGTTATTCGTTTGCTGCTTGCGACTCTCGCAATTGTCATCGGATACGAACCGCGGATTTTTGCTCATTCCTCTGTGAAAATGCGCGCAACGATGCAATGCGCTGACGACGTCGGGCGCTTTTTAGGGAGGAAATGATTATATTGTAATGTTAATGTAATACAATATGGATAATAGAACTTGATTATGTATGACATTAATATTACTAATATATTAATATATAATATTAATATATTAGTATAATATAATATATAATATTAATATATTAGTAATATTAATGTTATACATTATTATATATAACATATAAATAATATTAATGTTATGTAATATAATAATATTAATATTATTATTTAATATATAATATATAATAATATTATATAGTGTTAATTATGTAATATTATATAACATATGTAGCTTATATTTTATAAAAATGTAGAGTGAAGTTGTTCGATTTGAGACTTTCTTTATATATTTTTTTATATATTTTTTCAACGTAATATATATATATATATATATATATATATATATATATAATATATATGTATATTAGTATTAAATATAAAAATATATATAAAACATTTATAAAATAAATAAAATAAGATAAACTAAAATAAATAGAAATAAATAAAATAAGATAAAATAAAATAAATAAAAATAAGTAAAATAAGATAAAATAATATAAATAAAAATAAATAAAATAAAATAAAATAATAATAAAATAGAACGAAATGCACATAAAATATTTATAAAATGTAACGTACACATTAACATAATACAACGTATAACATCATACAACATATATTATACTAATTGATATTGTATATCACAACAGTAACCCCTGTACACACGTCGTAATAAA